TCTAACATTTTGTTTTCTCAGTTTTTTAGTTTTTTTACATTAGTGATCTTATTATAGATTTGCATCAAAGTTTTATATAATACTGGTTATTAACTTTTTTCAATATATATATAATGTTATACTTAATATAAATGTCTTGAGCTCTCAATGATAAATAAAACCTAACTTGGTATATCTGAATTATAATTGTATAAGGCCAACTAATTAACAAGAGATAGTTTCTATAATAAGATTAATTTTCAAATTTTATTATAGATAAGATTTGAATCTTAGATTTGCTACTTGAAGGATGATAATCTAATTATTATACTAGAATTACTATTCTCTATAAAAAAAAATTTTTTTTAATAATTAATAGTTTAGTATTTGTTATATAAAAATAAATAAAACTTAGTAAGATTTATAGCAATTTAAAATTATTTTTTAATTAAATAAGAAAAAATAAAATAATATGAATTAAAAAGTTGTTTATAGTCTATTTTATAAAAAAAAATATAGATGAATTTGATAAACCAATTTTTTTTTATACTAAGAAGTGTTTTGAAGAGTATTTTAGTTGCTTTAATAATATATAAGTTTTTGTTTAAAATTACATCTATAATAAATTTAAGTTTTTTGTTTACTATAATTTAAATTAATAAGTTAAAATTGTTTTTTATAATTGGTTTAATAATTATTATAAAATTGATAATTGAAGTAAGATAGAAATCTTTAAAAATTGGTTTAAGAAATCTAATATTTAAATTTTAGATATTATAAGTATAGATAGAAAATTTTTTTAAGATAAAATAACTTTTAAACTAGTCTAAAAAATGATCTTATTAGATTGTAGTTTGTGAATTTATTTTATAATTATAAAAAATACTAATGATAAAAGAATATTTAAAATTATAAAAAGATATGAGAAAGTTTTTTTTAAATAGTTTATAATATAAGTAAATGTATTATAAGAACAAGAAAAAATAAATAAAAAGAATAAAAATTAAGTAAAAAAATTTAGTTTTTTCAAAATTGTTAATAAATTTTTTAGAAAATTAGTAAATTTTCTAGGTTTCTTTAAAGAAATTTTAAAAAAAATTATATATTTAGATATTTTTAAGATTGGTAAAAAAAGAAATTTCTAAGTTAACATAACAAAAATTTTTTGAAATTGACTAATAGAATTTCAGAAGAAAGTTTTGATAAGAGTTTGAAGAGAAATATAAATAACTTAATAAGTTTTAATTTGTTAAAAATAAAATTTATATTAAAATAATCATCTTAGTAAGTTGAATTTTTTTGTATAATAAGAAAAAATAAGTTTTTTTTAGTAAAATTTGATAAAAATTCAGAAAATATGTTTTTTAGAAAATGTTAATTTGTATATAATATAATAATTAGAATTTGATAAATTAGTATAATAAAAGCAAAAGTTTAGTATGCTTAGTTACTTAAAAATAAAAAAGTATAATTAAGTATAGATTAAAGAAAGTTAAAAAGAATATAAATAAAGATAATTTTATTAAAATGTAATAATTTATATTAAAAACTTAGATATAAGTAAATTTATATTGTTTTTAAAACAGAAAGTTGTGAAGAAGAAGTTTAATTAAAAGGTTAAAGACTGTTAGTTTAGTAAAATATTAAGAAAAGTTAAATTATTTGTTAGAGAAAAGTTGGTTTTAGTAATCTACAAAAAAAGTTAGGTAATTGACATTTTTGAAAATTAATAATTTGTTTATTTTATTAGATTATTATATTTTTATTATGTAAAATGTTTTTAGATACTAAAAAACACTTGTTATATACTTATATATTTTTACAATTAAATAAAATAAAAGACATAATAAAAGAAACAATAATTAAAACAATAATTAAAATTTGTAAAGAAAATAAAATTGAAATAATTATACTAATAACTTAAAAAATTCAAGATATTCATATACATTAAAAAGTTCTAATTAGAATTATAACAAATATAATATATAATTTAAGACTTGTAAAAAATCAGCTTTTTTTATAATATTAAGATGAGGCCTTGCTTATATCTTTATTAATAATTTTAACTATATATTTTAGTACAAAAATGCTAAAATTAACTAAAATTATATATAACAAAATAAAAATTATATACAAAAATATGAATTTAAACTAGTTTATCTGTAACCTAAAGTAAAAAAAACCAAATTTACTTTTTAATATTTATTATAAAATTATATACAAATATATTTAAAAACCAAACACAAGACATCTTCAATATCATACTTCTTCTTTGTCAACTTTTCTTAATACTTATACTAACTTTTTATCTATAAAGCTTATAAATAGACATCACATGTTATAACTAATAGATTTATAGAATTTAACTATACTTTTTCTCTTACTAAACCCATAAACTAAAGGCCTCTTAACTATTTTAGTTAAGAAGTAAATTTGCCCTAACCTCTACTTTCTTAGTTTAATGTATCAATTTGTACAAATGTACTTAATTATATATTACTGAAATAAAGGATTGGAAAAAAGACCTCTCTTGAAAACAAAATAAAAAAATATTTATCAAGTACAAATAAACAAATTTGTTTAGAATACAAATTAAAATAACTTTATTTTATATAACCTATACCTTTAACTCTAAAAATTTTAATCCGGTTCTATTTACAGCATAAATATACAGAGTGAATTCCGGTTAGTTATTGTAAAAAGTATTTGGAATTGATGCTCTGGAATTTTGTTCTAAAAGACCACATGGTAAAACAGAAAGGTCTTAGAACCAAGGCTGAACATAGCAAACCTATTTTAGTAGCAGATGACATTCCGAGTATCGGGATTTATAACCGAATCCAACACAAAACAATATGTCTACACCACTTAGCGAAGAATATTTTGCCGTGAAACAGGGCGACAATGGAAGTATAAAATAATGCTAATGCTAATATGAATCTGATTAATTAGCGATATGCGCCAAAATTAATTAGCGATAAAAGCCAATAGTTTAAATAATTATTATACTATACCATGAATAGAAACACATGTGTTGAGAAATTATTTAAAAAGGAAGCAAATGTTTATTCGTAACACGATACGGCAGATGCTGTCAACAGACGTATTACATACGATACCTAAATGTTTGTGATACGAAAATTTACACATGACAACACTCGATTGTACAACATTCTTTTGCACTTTTGCACATCAATAAGACTTCACACATTGGTGTTTTTTTTACTATGGAATGAATATCATGATATCACGGTGCAGATTAGGTACAGATCAGAGTGACTAAATGCAGAAGTACAAGTTCAAATGACCATTAACCGTAGACATACTGCGTGATACAAAACCTTTCAAAGGAAATTTTCTCTATGTAGATCATCAGATCAGTGTAATGTGAGATTGTTCAAAAATCAAAATTTTGCTAAGAATCGCCTTTTGCGTTCTAGATTGACCCTAGCTACCACACCAAAATTGGCATGGATTTTGAGCGACGATCAATTACTAATGAAATCACAACCGTCCATCGGTTTAAAAAAAATTAAAAAGTTAATTCCGGCCAAAAATTATATAAACAATTATGTAATGCGGGCCAAGATTTTGTAGATCGTGGCCGTTAGCCAATCAAAATCGGTCAGCAGCTAGGGACAATAAATTATAGAGTACTACGCCCTATTAAACCATAACCCCAGTCCTAACGCCATGGCTTCCACGTGTTATGAGTGCAAATAAACCAATAAAAAAATGATTTTTTGGATTTTATCACTTACACAAAATAACTAGATCCTACTTCCTTATATCAAGAATGTCTTATATCAAAAGTTCTTATATCGAAAGTTTCTTATATCGAAAGCTTCTTATATCGGGAGTCACTTGGCAAAATAATTCAATAATTTATATAAAACTTTTGTAAGCTAGTCACAAGTTATCACCGACATTACAGTCAGTATACTTGAAACTTTAAAACTTCGTATCGGTGTATAAATTCAAATGTATAAAATTGACCAATCATGAAAAAGTTACCCTATATGTTGCATATACATTCCGTAATTCAGTCAGGGATTTTACACGATATATAAATGATCTGCAATATATTAAAAGACTATTCTAAAACCAGTTCTGTTTAAAAAAAGTGTTTTTATTATCTAAAAAAAAAAAAACAGATTTAAAAAAACCTTTAAAATATTCTTGCAAAAGTTATTCTATGAACATGTAGTCTAAGAATCCTCCGGGCTTTAAAAGTCGGTTGTGCCCAAATAAATACACGGACAATGATTGGCACAAATTTTGCCCAATAGAATTTTCCAATTGCAGTAATTGCAGTGATCTACATTTGAACTGTAATTATTTACGTAATGTAGATGATCTTTGAATAACACTCTGGAGCGGGAGTGCGGCATGCTTGGTCTTTAACCTACAGAGTTGTGATTAAGAAATACTATACGTACATATCAATACGTATAGAGATTGACACACTTTTGAATCATGTCTATATATGTCATTCCGGAAATACATTATTTTTCAGGGACTCAAATGTGCGTATGTACTACTTATAAAATGTTACTCCAACATATGTTTGTACACCCATAGATGATTGCACAACTTCTTCACCAGAAAAGTCCAAATTTATTTCTTTATCAGATTCTTCGTCTTTATAAAGCAAAATTCCTTGTGTTATAGTTACATTTTTCATCAGAAGACGCATTAGCGTTAGGATATCATTCATAACCGTTTATAACTTACTCATCTGCACGCACGAAACAACACTTTTTTTCAAAAAATTAAAACTGACGTTTCTCCATTTGAAAATTTCACAAATATATTTTTCATTCTCTGAATTTTTGGCGGGAGAAACATCAAAAAACTTGATATTCACATATCACGCGAAAAGTAGTTACTTTTGCTAACATTATAAACTTATAATTAAAATTTATTAAAGTATTTTTTAGATATTTGTAAATTTCTACTTAAAATTTTTTTACACTCTCTTATAACTATTTTTTTCTTTTTAAAAAAAGTTTGAAACTTTTATGCAACAACAACAACAAATAGACAAGATGTACGCTGCTGGTCCCGTTAGAAACGTGGGCGTAGCGACTAGTTTCTTGTACAAGTTAACAGAATTAGCTGCTTACACTTCGGCTTTTGCCAGTGATACTTACCACACTTTGACATCTAGCAATGGAAAACTTGAGCTAGAAATCCCTGTACAGACGAATAAATCTTATAAAACTTTTGGATTACAAGGACAGTATATTGACGAAGATGCAAGGCATTTCAATAAAGATACTTCAGAGCTTCTCGACACGAATAATGTTGAGTTGAACGACAATGATACCGTCCAGAACAACAACGTAGTCCAGAAAAGCATTAGTAATACTGTTCAGAAAAAAAATAATACTGTCCAGAAAAAAAATAATATTGTCCAGAAAAAAAATAATATTGTCCAGAAAAATAATAATAATGTGACTGACAGTCAAGAAATAAATTTTGGAGTTGATAAAAAAGACCAATGTTCGTGGACAGCAAATGATAATGAAGAAGAACCACCACCACCATATGATATTTCTTGGTCAATGGTTGGTTTCATTTTTTATTATTTCATAATTATTTATTTTATAATTTTTCACTAAATTAATTAATACTTGCTATTTTTCAATATTTATAGCCAACTCATAACAATGAAACGAATCAAGCTTTATCGATCTCCACTCATAACTTATCAGATGTGCCTGCTCTGTCCTCATCACCGAAGAATATACGATTTGAGACTCCTCAAACTGATTCTCAGATCGATATCCCTTCTACATCGTCTCCTACTCCAGTTAAACGTAGGCAAATTCGTGTACGTCGTCCTCGGAGATTACTTCGTCGCAAGTCTTCTTCAACTGATCTTTCAATTCAACCTAGTGAATATGATGATCAAGACGCTTTTTTATCAAAAGTTAACGAGAAACTTGTTGATATGATCGCTCGAGGTAAAGCTGCCTTAAATAGTACCGTCAGTATAACTGATGTTGATATAATGCTTGCTGAAGAAAGAGAACGTGAAACTCGCATAATGAAAGAACTTGGCCTTCAAACTCCGCTCAATCGGCGGAATAGGAGATTGAATGGTTCTTTTTCCGATTACGATTATTTTGGTGGTTCAATATCAGATCATGCCAATTATTCTGCTCCAGAGTCTTCGTCCTATTACGACTATGGTTACGTTTCTAGTAATGGCTATTCAACTCCAAATGATTATGTGACGACTCCTCTTCACCATTCATCCCACATACATTATAATTCTCCATCTCAATATAGTTCTTATATGTCTCCTCCCCTTCATCATTCATCTCACATGCATTATAACACCCCATCTCAATATAATTCTTATGCGACATCTCCTCCTCATCATTCATCCCACATTCACTATAATACTCCATCTCAATATAGTTCTTATGTAACCCCTCCTCATCATCATTCGTCTCACGTGCACCACAACACTCCAACACAATATAGTTCTTATTATCACAATATAAATCAATTCCACGATGAAAATTGGTACCGAGGATACCCTGTACGTGGTGCTACAGTCGATTAGATTGAGTGTTTGAAATGTTTTAGTAACATGTAAAAAGGTGGTTAAAAAATACTTATCGCTTGAATTGGTTTCAACTTGAATTGGTTTCACTTGGAATTAAGGTCACGCGAATCTGCAGTTTCATATCACTTGGTATGATCACGATAGACGGGATAAACGGGATAATAGGGGTAATAGGGGTAATAATCGGCTGGGTCGTAGAAACAAATCTGGTAGTAATGAATTTGGGGGTAATCAATGATGCAAGTATAATAATGATTACAGTACAATAATTACGATATAATAGTGATTACAGTATAATAATGGTTAGGATGCATAAAAAGAATGTACGTAGTAATTAATGAGTCAAAAATCGTATGAGTGGTTTATAATGTAATTAATGTAGAGTCAAATGTAATATATAAAAAGCAATGAAAATAAAAATGCAATTTAATTGTCAGCTTAATTAAAATCGATAGTTCTCACCTTCGTATTAAGATCTTGGTGCTGATAAAGACCGAATAATGTTTATGTTGTAGGTGGATTCGGAATCCTATAGGTTCAGAATTCACTTAAGTGGATACTGAATGCACTTAATTTTTTAAATCGACTTAAGTGAAAATGAGATGTTTTAAAAAATTGTTATTAAAAAAAAAAAATAAATAAAAAACAATAAAAAAATAAAAGAAAATTCGTTTCATCACTGGTGATCATCACCAGTTATTTACAATAATTAAAATTAAAGCAAAAATCAATTTTTTTAATATTTAGGTAAGGTTTAAAAGCTTGAATTAGAATAAAGAAAGCATTATACTCAGAATTTCATGGAGAATTTTTTTTATTAGAACCCTAAAGTAGTTTTGTTAATAAAATTTTATTTTATACTATATACTGGTGATGATTACCAGTAATAATAAATAGCAAATCTTAAAATAAAAAATAAAAATAAAATAGTAATAATAATAATAATAATAATAATAATAAAATTTTTTTTAAATATTAACAGCAATAATAATAATAATAATTATTATTATTATAATTATTTTATAATGCATTATTTAATTCAAAAATTATTTTTTATTTGTATATTTTTTGAACTATGTAGATGACAATTACTTTTATATGATATATTAAAACATTTACAATTATTATTTTTATATTTATTTTTACAAACTTCAAGTTTTTTTATATTTAGTTAATTTTAATGATATAAGTTTATTTGCATTAAAAGTTAAATTGAGAATTTTATTTTTATATTGCAAATAGTATATTTTGTTTAGCAATTCTTCAATTACTTTATAGAATAAAGTATATTAATTAGTATTATTATAGTTTATTTTTGAAATTGTAATGCAAACATATTTATTAATAATATATTTGAATTAATACTTATTTTTTTTAGTATTTAGTTTTTTATTGTTTTTAATAGTAATTTATTTGCATATTTATAAAAAAGCTAATAATGTAATTAAATATTTGGTTATACTTTTTTTTGTATATTAAACTATATATATTAAATAAAAAAATAAGTATAAGTATTAGGCCTAATAGTTTAACAGTAACGTTGCTAACTTAATATAAACTAGATTAATGATTTGAGTTAGACTAAAGACAAAATCTTAAGATTTTAACTCTGTAAGCCAAATTAGATACAGAACCTTATAAAAAGTTCCAAAGTAAAGTATAATGATAGATTAAAAATTCCTAAAAGAAGATTACTCTGCAGAAAAAAAACATTATATATGATAGTAATATTACAAAAAGTTTAGCTATATAGCAGTATTATACAAGTAAAACTCCATAAAACAGAGCAGTACCAACATTTCTGTATACAACTTACAGAGTACTTGGTTAAGAAGATAATACTAAGTAATTTAACTAGAGTGGTAAGCAATGTGGTGCATGCAAAGAAGATTTGTGACAAAAGATTAGTCTAACTAAAATTGAAACATCTTAGTTAGATACTTCTAAAATACTTTCTGAGAGAGTTATACATTACAATTTAGATAATAAGCATCATATCTGTATATAATAAGTTAAAATTTTAGATTTTTTTACAATATCAAAACTAGTAGTATATCAGTATATTAACTATACATGTATAACCAAAAAGAGTATATAGTAAATTGCAAATTAATAATATAAATCTTAATAAGTTTTGTTATATCAATAGAATACTAAAATCATATAAGATTGTATTTATTAAATTAATAGCAAAAAAAGCTGCAAATAGTAAACAAATAGGTTTTTATTAGGCTAAAGATAAAAAATTTAGATATAATAAAATGATTTATAGTTTTTCTGGTAGTTTAGTAATAATAATTAAAATATATCATAAAGGTTACAAAAAATATATATATATAAAATGTAAGTATCATGTCACATTAGATATTTAAAGCCAAAAATAATTTAGTAACACAAATATAATATAACTATATGTAATAGTAATGCAAAAACTAAATAAAACATAAGTTACAATTTGGCATTATAAAAAAAAATAAATAAATATGTATTTCTAAATTTTATAAAATATAAGAATGATAATTCTAGTATAGTAAGCAGATTGTTATCTTTCAAATAGCAGATTTAATGTTCAAATTTTACTTATAATAAAATTTAGAAATTATATTTGTGTTATAGTAAACTGTTTTTTAACGATCAGTTAAATTAGTATATCTGAAACCTTTAGTTGCACTATCTCAATAAGAGCTTAAGGCTCTATATAAGTATAATATTATATATATATATATATATATATAGGAATATTAATAACTGGTATCATATAAGATTTTGATATAAACTTACAATATAATTACTAGATACAAAAATAAAAAAAAATAAAAAGTCAAAAGTCTACTTAAAAATTCTTAAATAAAAAGATAATATAAACTTTTAACAATATTGTTAATCTAATAGAAGTCTGTAAAACATTTTCAAAGGAACAGGTAAATAAACTGAATAACAAAATATATAAAGAAGCATATAACCAACTATGTTACTAGATTCATTAGAGAAAAAATACTAAAATATATTATACTAGATTATCTAAATTAGGAGTTTAGAAAAACTTATCAGTTTTAAGTAGCAGTTAGTAGAAAATAGCAAAGAAGATATCAAAAAGACAAATATTAAAGTTTTAGTAAACTTTACAAAAATAAAAATAATATAATATAGTAATTAAAAAATAACTTTTGTTAGATAACTATAGTGTATTATATAAAACTAAATTAGTTATATATAAAACATAAAAGGTTCTAGTAGAATTTTATTAAGAATAAAGTAGTTCTAAGAGCTTTAATTGCATTAAGTACTTTGAATAAATGTAGTCTTGAAGATATTATTATAATACAAGTTGAATTATATATGCAGAGAGTTTAAATAGATAAGGCTTGTAGTTGGCTTGTAGATATAGCATCTAGTATAAAATCTATATAGTAATATATAGGCAATCTACTTAAATTAGTTATCAAAAGTGCATATATAACTAGTTGTAATCTTCTATATATAGATGTTCTTAATAGCATGTGTGTTCAAATTAACTTAAATAAAAAATATTATTCTTTAAAAATAGAAACTTTAATTTTAAAAAAAAATTATATAAAATATATCTATATTGTTTTTAAGATTAGCTAACCAAAACACAATCAACAAATTAGTAAAATAACTAAAAAAAAAGTTTTTGTAGAACATTGATTAATGCAAAAAGATGATAAAAAAACAACTACAGAAATAAGTAAATGCAAAGGTTGTAAAAGCACTTTAGTAAATAATAAACAATTGCAAAAGGTAAATAAGACAAAACTATAATATAAAAGCAATTCTAGAGATATTAATAAAGAAAACAATAAAAAGATTAATGAAATGCTAGAACAAATATTAGAAAACAGAACAATAAAAAAATAGAAAAGTGAGGAAAGAAAATTAATAAAACTAAAAACAAGTAAAAAATTTAGAAATAAAATTAATTAAAAGACAAAAGTTAAATAATAAAGTTACAAAACAATTAACATAAATTTTGATAAGAAAAAAGAGAAAAACAAAGATAAATATAAATAAAGCACTATATAAAAAAATAAAAAAAATAAAACAAAAAAAATAAGGATTAGTTAGATACAAATAGAAGAAAAAAGAAATTAGTCAAAAGAGAAAATAGCATTAAGGCTTGAAAAATAAACTTCAGTAATAATAGCAAAATTGGTAGCAATATGATTAGCAATTTTAATAGTATTAGAATAAAAAAGTATAAGGGTATATACAAATAGCATCACTGTATTAAAAAACATTAACAAAGTAATCCAAAGTACAAAAGACAAAAAATACTTAAAAAAAAATATAATAAAAATAATGAACATTGTAGGCTTAATTGAAAGTAAAAACATTAAAATAGAAATAATTAAAGTTAAAAGTTTTAGTGAAGATAAGTAAAATAACAGAGCAAATATACTTATAAATAAAGAAACAACTTGTAAAAAAACTATTTATATAAAAAAGATTAAGTGTAATAAGATAGAATATTATTTAGAATAAGAAAACAAGAAGGTTAATATACTAACAAGACTTTTCTGTAAAATAATTATAAATGCCAAAATCAGAATTAGCTAAAAAGAGACAAACCTAATTAGAACATTAGAACCAGAAACAGAAGATATATTGCATAACTGGTCAAGTTTTTAAAAAGAAATAAATAGAACAAAAAGAATACATTATATATTAAGAAAACTTGATACAAAAAAAACTACAACAATTAAGTACATAATAAACAGTTTACCAATACTAGAAAAATTAAATAAAAAAAGACCAAAAGTATACACAATAAAAAATCATTAGATCTGTTAAAAAAAGAAAAAAGAAACTTATATATATATAATAAACTGTAGTAAGCAAAAAAACATGTAAAAGCAGATTCAAAAAATGACAACAATAATAGCATAAAATAGACTTAAAGAGAAAAAAAAAGATGGAATTTTACTTCAAATATTATATATATACAACTCTATTTAGAGAAACAGAAGAAGAAATAA